TCCCCAACTCCCCCTCCCAATCCCAACTCCCCCACCTCCCCCCCAATTGCGCACCCCCCCAACCCGACCTTCCGCCCCCGACTACCCCCGACCCTTCCCCGACTCCCTTGATTCCCCGGATCTCCACTCTGCGCCCCCATCCCCGACCCCAACCAGGACCTCCTTCCCCCGACTTCCTCCCTCCCACGCACAACCCCGCGCGATCCCCCGAGTCCGCTTCCCCCCCCTCTGCGCGACTTTCCCCCCTATGTTTCCCCCCCATCATCATCATCATCATCATCCTCATCACCATCATCACCATCATTATCATCATCACCAATCCCCGCGTGCAAACCTTTTCTTTTCCCTACCCACCACGCTACCACCCAATCAATCATAGTTCGTCATTTACCCCTTTATTTATTTATAATTCCTTTTTATTATTCATTTGCAATTCTTGTAAATTTACAAATACTTAATTAATTATCTTTTCCAACATTTCCTTTCCGAAAATATTTTCTTTTTCGAAACTTTCAAAAATACGTAGAATTAGTTATTCTTTCTCGGCATTTCTTCCTTGAAATTCGAAAATTATTTTAATCAATTCTTTTTCAAAAATTTTAATTCGAAAATATTCCAGAATTAATTAAATTCTTTTTCGACATTTCTTTTTCGTAATTCGAAAACATTTCTAATTAATTCTTTTTCGACAAACAACTTTTAATTCATTCTTTTTCAAAATTTTTGAAAATACGTTAGAATTAATTAAATTCTTTTTCAATATTTCTTTTTTTTTCAAAATTCAAAAATAATTTTACTTAATTTCCTTTTCTCGTATATTTTAATTACTAGGAACAAATTCTCTTTCAAAATTCTTGAACTTCGGGAATACTTTACTTAATTCCTTTTGAAATTTCACGCTTTTCATACCCCATAATTAATTTCGGATTAAATTTAACCGAAATTTACTTTTTTTGAAATTAATTATCTTTTTTTGACATTTTCAGCATTTATTTCATTCCTGAAAATTTCGTCTTTCCAACTTTTCTCCCTCGAAATCCTTTCCGAATTTTCAAATTAATCTCAAATAAATTACTCCAAATCGATATAATTTATTTTGAATTAATTCCCATTTTATTCATTTACTGTTTTCGCAAATACCTTTCTTTATTTTTGAATAAATCAATTAATGTTGTAAATACCCTCCCCACCCCCCCCCCCCGCCACTCGTGAATCTCCGCATGCCACGCCAAAGCAAGAACTCTCAGGGCGCAGCCGCCGACGTCGCCGCCGCTGCCGCCACATCAGCCTCCACCTCATCCGCAGTCGTCGCCTCAGCCACCGCATCCACTCCATCTTCCCCCAAAATGGCCCAATCCTCCAACATCGATATGACCGCCGTCAACACCCAGTCTCTTCACAGCCTCGCCCGCGAGCTTATGGGCAAACAAAGATCCAAGCCCACCATTGCCACCGATATCGCCACCCTCATTCGCATGATGTCCTCTTTCCAAACGGACATCCGGGCTTCCATCACCAAAATTGAAACCAATATCTCTGGCGTATCCGACCGTGCGACCTCTATCGAGCATCAACCCCCGACAATCATAGTGGTTACGACCACCGCACCCCCCTCTACGACCATGCCCACATCCGCCGCCCTCTCCGCTAGCACGTCCTCCACACCCCCACCTTCATCCACCACTACCTCCACCATAGTCACCCAGCCGCAAACCCCCGCCGTCACGATCGTCAACCATCCTCCCCCAATCAAAACCCCTCTTGACTTCGTCCGTTATCACCTCCACCATCCCCACCTATACCCAGACCATTCCACAAGCTATGTACCCCGCTCTTCCTCTACTTCCCCCAAATGCTCTCATCCCCACCAACCCCGCCAATGATTTCACCCTAGTCGACTTTTCCTCTCCCACCCTTGATTTCAATGCCCTTGCGGCCACTAAGTGGCACTAACCCCAGAGAAGGCAAAATCCCCCCATCATTCCGCACCAACGAGATTCCCACCTTCTCAGGCCAACCCCATTAGGATGTCTTCCTCTTTCTAACCAAACTTCAACAAGCCTTCTCCCTCCACAACATTCTTGTCGTCCACTGGCTCCCCATCGCTGGTGGCCGACTCCTAGACAACGTTGCTCGCTGGTGGTACACCGAAATGACCAATCGCCACCACGCTAGTCTCTGACCTCACACCTTCCTTGAGTGGGCCACCCTCATCACCTCCACCGTCCGCCCACAGAAAACGGTCGACAACTACATTGACCAATTCTGCCGGCTCCAACCAAACGGCCCAACCGACTGTTTTGTGCAATACGTCCCCTCGCTTCGTCAACATATCCCCATCGACGTCGTCAGCGACTTCGCCTTCATCTCCCGCGTTAAGCGCGTATGCCGCAAAGACCTAGCGGCCGCCCTTGTCCACGAGCCCCCCATGAACCTCGCCGACCTTCTCACTCGTGCCCTCCAACTCGACCGCATCCTCTCCCCCTACAAGACCGCACTTACATCGGCCCCTCCCCGCCCTCGCTTCTTCCACAACATCGCCTCTGAGGACACCACATCCACCACCTCCTCGGACGAGTTCACCGCCCCCGACCTTGACACCCTCTCCGTTTCACTAGACACCACATCGCTCTCCCTCGACGAACTCTCTGCCATTCACCTCATGCGAATGGAAAAGAGAGATCGCTCCAGCCGCCCTCCCCCGACCAACCTCATGAGCCGCCTCAAGAAACTCACACCCGAGGAAATAGCCCACCTTCAGGCAAAGGGTGGATGTTTCCGGTGCCGTCAATTAGGCCACCTGCAAACAGACTGCTCAAATGCTAGATATTTCACACGCCAGTCTGCGGCTCCCCGCCCTATAACCTCTGCATCACCCCCCTCGACAGGAGCGGACCCCTCCTCGACCTGAACACTGTCCCCAGGTCTCCGCCCCGACATCGATCACTAGTCTGTCGGCCACCCCATCAGTGACGATCTCCATCCCACCGGTGGCCCATTTGGCAGCGACATAACATCTGCCTCCCCCCTGTCCAGTGCCGCACCCCCCATCGGATGACCCCCAGGCGTCGCAAACCTCGTCCCCTGACGCCCCCCTCACTGCCACTTGTTCCTCAACCCTCCTTCCAAATCCATCCTCTGTCACCTTCTCTGATGTTGTTGAGGAACAAGCCCGACACGATCGGCTTGTCCGATTAGACAATGAACAACGCCGCCTCAACACCATTATCTCCACCGCCAACTCATCTTGCTTTCACCTCAAATTCATCGCCGCCACCCTTGGTGTGTCAACGACTAAGTTTCGGGCCCTCCTCGACATTGGAGCCACCGGATACTTCATCACCGACGCGTGTGTCCGAAAAGCTGGTCTTACCTCTACCGGATACGACTCCCCGACTACGATTCGTTTAGGGGACAAAGACACCGTCGTCATAGTACATCGTACGGTTCCCGAGACCACCATGATTGTCGGAACCCTCCGCAGTCAGGTCTCATTCGATGTCATGCACTTAATGTGCCATATCGTTTTGGGAACATCGTGGCTGGAACGCTACGTGCAATATGCGTTCCACCCCAACTTCCTCCGCCTTACCAACCCCCCTGACACAATCGACATTCCCTATCTCCCCTATCTCACCTCCCCAAGCTCCGTCACCCCGCACCAATTCCTTCACATGGCTCGCACAAACCCTGACTCCACCTACTATTGCCTTGTCCTTGACCGCGAGCACCTGCTCCCAACAGACAAACCCGGCCAAGCCCCCCCCTCCAACCCCACCCTCACATCCATCCTCGACGAGTTCAAGGACGTCTTCCCTGAGTCCTTGCCTGCCGAATTACCTCCGGATCGTGGCGTATCCCACACCATCGAGTTGGAACCCAGTCACTCTCCACCTTGCTGCCCTCCATACCAACTCTCTGTTCCAGAAGCCGAAGAAATGAAGCGGAAACTCCATGAACTCCTTGAGAAAGGATTCATTAGCCGAGTTCATCCCCCTTCGGCACAAGCTGCCTTTTCGTAAAGAAAGGCGGAACATCGGAACTTCAGATGTGCACAGACTACCACGCCTTGAACCGGATCACTATCAAGAACAAGTACCCCCTACCTCGGATCTCCGAGCTTCTCGATCGACTCCGTGGAGCCAAGTATTTTACCAAGATCGACCTTCGCAGTGGCTTCCACCAGATCCGCATCCGCGAGGAGGAGACCCACAAGACCGCCTTTCGTTCCCAATTCGGGCACTACGAATTCCTCGTGATGCCCTTCGGCCTCACAAACSCCCCCGCCACATTCCAATCTACAATGAATCACATTTTCCTCGACCTCCTGGAAGTTTGTGTCGTCGTCTACCTCGATGATATCCTCGTCTATAGCCCCACCTTCGAGTCCCACCTTCAACATCTCCACCAAGTCCTCTCTATCCTTAGAGAGCAAAAATTCTACGCCAAGCTCAACAAATGCACCTTTGACGCTTCAAGCGTTGAATACCTTGGCCACATCGTCTCCGCTGAAGGTATCCGCATGGACCCATCGAAGGTCACCACCCTCGTCCAGTATCCACCTCCCAAGACCCTACTCCAACTCCGATCATTTCTCAGCCTTGCCAACTACTACCGCCCCTTTATCTGCAACTTCTCCGACATCTCGTACCCTCTCCACGAACTCACCCGCAAGGACGAACCCTTCACTTGGAACGACCGCCGCCAAAATGCCTTCGATGCCATCAAACAACTCATCACCACCGCCCCGTCCTCAAGATCGCCAACCCCACTCGCCATTTCTACGTCACCACCGACGCCTCCGACTTCGCCATTGGAGCCCTCCTGTCCCAACATTTCCCTCGTGACGCCCCCGAAACTCCCTCCATTAAGGAATCCCCTACCCACCCCGAGGCTCCACCGGGCGAATACCCCCTTGCCTTCGCCAGCAAGAAACTCCTGCCCGCAGAAATGAATTACCCCTTCAACGAGAATGAGCTCCTCGACGTGATCCACACCCTCAAAGGTTGGCGCCCGTACCTCGACGGGCTATACTTCACCGTCCGCATGGATAACACCATCGTCTCTTCTATCCTAACAAAGAAAAACATTACCCCACGACAAGCTCGCTGGTTAGACTTTCTCACCCAGTTCACCTTCACCATCACCTTCACCATCTGCCATACGCCCGGCAAAAACAACCGTGTTGCCAATGCCCTCTCCCGACGCTCCAATCACAAACCCCCTGACAAAATTTACGCCACAATAACACATATCCAACTCCTCCCGTCTCTTCATCATCGCTACACCCAAGGCTATCTCTCTTGCCCAGACTTCCCCACCATCTACAATAAGCTTCGTGACCTCAATCCTGTCCCTGACTACTCCCTCCATGACAATCTCCTTTACATCGATACCAAAGGCACTCGCCGACTTTGCATCCCTGACGCATGTGGTCTCCGTACCCAGCTCTTGGCCAAACACCACAATGCCAAGACTGTCGGCCATCTTGGGTTCCAAAAAACATTCGACACCATCTCCCGCTACTTTCACTGGCCTTCCCTACTCGCCGACGTCAAAGCATACATCTGCTCATGCTCCACGTGTCAAGCCGTCAACCCCTTGAACCACGCAAAGCCTGGCAAGCTACAATCATTGCCGATCCGCACCCACCGGTGGCATTCCATCTCCATGGACTTCGTCCGCGGTCTCCCCAAGACTGACCGCGGACATGATTGCATCTATGTCATTGTTTGCCGCTTGACTAAACGCGCCCACTTCATCCCTTGCACCACATCGCACAACGCCAAGGACGTCGCCATTCTCTTCTTCGACCATGTCGCTCGCCATCACGGTCTCCCCGAGAACATCATCAACGACCGTGACCCTTGCTTCCTTTCACAATTCTGGAAAAACCTCTTTAAAGCCTTTGAAACCACACTCAAGTATAGCACTGCATTCCACCCACAGACCGATGGACAAACCGAGAAGATGAACGGTACTCTCCAAGGAATCATGCAGAAGTATTGTCATCCACATCAACACGACTGGGATCAGTTGCTCACCACCGTCGAGATCGCCTACAACAACGTTGTCCGTCCTTCCACTGACATGACTCCATTCTACCCTGACCTTGGCTATCACCCGCGCCTGCCCTCCGATTTCCTGCTCCCCTCGCAACTCAACCCCTCCACTCCCTGCCCTTCTCTCAATGAATGGGTAGCAACAATGAATCGACTCCTCATAGAAGCAACCGAAGCCCTTGAAAGAACACAAGAACAACAAGCAAACAATACTAACAAACACCGACGTGACTTGCAATTCAAAGTAGGGGACAAAGTCTGGCTCTCCGCCAAACGCTTTGAACCCGAACACAACTTGTCCAAGAAACTCTCGAACAAGTGGCTCTGACCCTTCCCCGTCATTGAACAAACCTCCCACGTCAACTACAAACTCCAACTCCCCCCTGACATGAGTCATGTCCACCCGATCTTCCACGTCGAATACCTAAAAGAATACCATGAATCCCCAACCCAATTCACTGACCGCCCATATCCTAGACCTCCACCAATCATGTTACCCGCAGGCCCTGAATTCGTCGTTGAAGCCATCATAGGACGAAGAACTACTTAGGTATCTGACCACCCTGAACCAATCACAATATACAAAGTTAAATGGACAAGATACCCTGACGAAGAATCTACATGGGAACCTCTTGCTAACCTTAAGAATGCTATGAAGCTTGTTCGCGCCTATGATCATGCTCACCCTATACCCTAGATACATAATATAACTGAAACCCCGAACCCTTGCATAAATCTCACCTCGACCTCGCCCAAACCCTGCATTCCTGCTCTACACATACCCCTGTACCCAGCAAAACCCTTGCCTCTTGAGCCCCCCTTGTCTGATCCGCTCTTGCCTCCGCCTCGCCCCGTTCTCCCATCCGTCCTCGCCACATCCTTGTCTCTCTTGTCCAAGTTCCCTATGTGGCCCCTGCGCATCGCCGGCGATAATGGATCTAATGGCAAGCGCACGAGGACGATGGCATGCCGCTGCTCTGTTCGAGGAGATGAAACAACTGGTTGGCCACCATGTTGTTCCCATTGGCCGACACATTGGACTCGCAGACTTCTGGAGCAGCAACCTTGACAAACATCGATATTAGTTTGTGACCTGCCATCCGGATCAGACCTCAGCACCAGATCAAGATTACCGGACGCCTCATGCTACTGGGACATTCAAGCTGAAGCCCCGTTGACGACGTCCTCAGACGACTGAAGACAGTTCCCTCAAAGAGTTGTTCCCAAGACTTTCGCATAACCACTACCCAGAAATCTTGCAACCATACCCCTGAAAACCCTTAGTTCAACAATAGGACCACCATGTTCCCCGCAATTCCGAAACCCTTAGTTCATCAGTAGGATTACCCCGTTCCCCGTTATCCCTAAACCTTTAGCTCATTAATAGGACCACCCTGTTCCCCTCAGTTCCTAAACCCTTCGCTCATCAGTAGGATTTCCATGTTCCCCGTTGTCCCTAAGCCCTTAGTCCATCATTATACCCTGGCTGACCAGTGATCAGCCCCGTCCAATCCTTTGCAGCTTTCAGCATTGTTTCATGACTTTTGGCAGCCGGGACGTTGCCTTCTAGATGGAGGGGATAGTGTTACGGACTCAGCCAGGGCTCGATCCCTGGTCCGCGGGTTACCAACCACCAGGATGCTATTTTATTATGAGTTCTTCATCTCCGGTTCTTGACTGTTGGCGCCCTCTGCAGTTGGCGCCCGTTCTCGAATCCCTCCACTGGCACTTTCGGATTTCGATACTTGACGCCATCCGGCATTCTGGCGCCCATACGCAGACCTGCGATCCTCAGTCCAGTCCTCAGGCAGGCCGCACCTCGGCCCTCCGTACTGAGCCTGAGTCCGGTACTTAAGTCCGAACTCAAGCCCCGTTGGGGCATTCGGCCTTCGGCCTCAGTGCTTGTGCTTCAGTGTGACTTGCCGCGACTTTGTGTTCGGAATCCAAGATTGCAACTTTGCGACTTTGAGACTTTATCAGTTCGTGTCTGCGTCCGTCGTGTCGAGTCGAGTGAGTGTGTGTATGTGCTCTCCCTCTCTCCCTCTCTCTCTCTCTCTCCCTCAACCTCTTTGCTCTGCCTCGGTCTCGTCACACCGCAAGCTAACACAACAGCAGCTTCAATTGTTGGAAGCCGATATAACACAGCAAGAACTGATTGAAGCTATTAAATCGTTGGCAGATCACAAAGCACCAGGGATCGATGGACTGCCTTCCACCTTCTTTAAACGATCTTCTCCTTTGTTGACTCCAGAACTTTTGACTGTGTGCCAAACAGTATGGAATTGGGGGGGCTTTGCCTGCCTCTGCATTAGAAGGAATCATTACGTTCGCTTTTAGAAAAGGGGACCGGACAGATGTCCGCAATTATCGACCAATCACATTGATGCCCGCAGTTTATAAGATTTTCTCAAAAATCCTAACAGCAAGATTGCAACAAGTTCTGACGGCGATCATTCACCCTTCGCAAACGGCCTTTTCGCAAGGGAGACAAATCCTCTACAATGTTATGACTGTGGAAAGATTTATGGAATGGGTGACAGCAAAGGACAAACAAATGGCAATTATACTATTTGATCAGGACAAAGCGTATCATCGGGTGGGATGAGAATTCTTACAAGCCACGATGACGACATTTGGATTCGGACCCAAGTTTCGTCACGCAGTCAAGGCACTTTTGGCCGGGGCTGCCTCGCGACTGTGTGTCAACGGTGCTTTTTCCCCACTGATCTCTCTCTCTCTCGTTCGGTTAGGGAAGGGTGCCCTGTGGCCCCTTAATTGAATATATTGTATGTAGAAGTTATGCATGTTTTGATTAGAAGCAACCCCGACATTACGGGATTCCTTTTACCCTCCGGAGACAGACTAAAATCAGAGGCTTTTGCTGATGATTCAGTAGCTTTCACCCCCCCGTTGGATAATGCTTTTCAAAACCTGCAGGAGACTATCGACCTCTTTTGCCTTGTTTCTCAAGCGGCGGTCAATTGGTCCAAATCATCAGTCCTTGTGTCACCAGGAGCCCAACACCCTTACCACTGGGGTCTGAGGATCGTGGTGCCTGCACAATAGGAACGTTTGTTGGGCTATCGAGTATAATTTGCTCCCCAACTGCGACTGGATTCTACATTCTCACTGGCTGCGCTTCGTGCGGCCTTCCAGCCTTGGACCACCCATAAAGGGGTGAGCCTTTATGGACGATCTTTGGTCATTAACAATGCTTGTTTTTCTACACTTTGGTGCCATCGATCGATTTATCAACTTGACTCGTCCTCCCTAGAGACTGTGCGCCACCTCGATACGCATTACCTTTGGAAAGAAGAAATAAACCAAGACAACTACTCACCCAAAGTGGCTTGGGAGGTGATCACACAGCCTAAACGGAAAGGAGGTCTGGCTGTATTGGACCCAGAAAGACAAATTGCGGCGCTGTTGGCAAGATGGATACCGTGGGCTCTGCTGGCTGACTCCACCTTTGCATGGAAACAACTAACAGAACCCGCTCTTCTGTCAATTTGGGGCTGGGAGAACCCCAAACATGTCTAGTTAGCTTTGCTCTCTAACTCGTATCTCAGAAAACAACTGCCACCAGATATCTGGGGAGGCATATTGAAAGCTTGGAAACCATACTTGCAAGCAGACGGACCGAACCGGACGAGCGTCCGGTCCGGTCCGCTTTGCTGTGTGCGGCGCCCTCCCCCCGGACCGGACCGGACCGGACCGGACGGGGGCTTTTTTTTTTGGGGGGGGGGGGGGTGGGGGCGTAACTGGTCGTGCGCCGCGCGGGTCCGGTCCGGCGGTCTGCCGCACGTGCAGAACCGCCCGGACGGCGTCCGCTTGCAAGTATGTTGGAAACTAGTTGCCCCTGCCCTGCAACCACCACCAATGGTAGTGGAGCGGATACTTACTCAACATCTGTTTCACAATCCGCTTATCTATACTACTCAGGGAATTCCTTTACAAAGTCACACACCAGGTGCTTTTGGTAACGCTTGGATGGCACGAGGCATAGGGACAGTAGCTGATATTTGGGACCCAGTTTCGTCAGATTGGAAATTTTTGACACATTGGCGCCCATCTGCAACAGCTACAGCAAGCGATCCCGAATGCTTGGGTGGGGATACTGAGAGCAGGCCTTACTCCTGTTCAGGGAATGTGGTACAAACATTCGCACCATGAACAGCCACTGCGAATTTGGAAATGGAAAGCTATTCGGAGGAAACTGAAATTCCACACTCCTGCTGGGTGGTGCAAGACGTTTTTTTTGGCCTGGGAACAGCCTTGACACTGGCTGTAAATCAAGAGCCTTTACCGCCTGTCCAATACGTGATGCCTGTCTGTGTTTTGGAAACTGCAACAGGTTATCGCCCTTTCTGCGTCTCTCGCCCTTCTTACCTTTTGTCAGTTAATGCCAGGGATTGGGCCTGGGAACACCCCTTGCACAGAAATGAAATGGTACAGATGCATTGCTATTCGATCAAACTGGGTTACCTGCTTTCCACCCCCCAGGTTGATGTCAACTGGAAGGTGGCTCGTAGATGGTTGGCAACAGGATGGATTGAAGACTCGCTGACAACATTGCTGGAAGTGTTACCCAGATTCTGGGTGAATCTAATGGACTTGGTTGTTGTCAAACATACTAGTTTTCTCTCGCTTATGATGCACCAAGCAGTCCCTGTGGCGGTTTGGTGTGCAAAACGCACTGCTAAGGCAAGGACGGAATGCCAGATATGCCCTGGGACTCGGATGGAAGACCTGCAACATTTCGTGTTGGACTGCGACATTGCTCGGCCCTTTTGGGACTGGTGGAGGCATTCACAAATCCCTGTCACCGGTTACACATCTAGATGGACAGATCAATTCTTGTTAATGGGAACTGCAGCGAGGGAAACACCTTTCCCACAAGGGTTCACATACGCGGAAGAAACACTCAGGGGTGCCATACTGTGGACTCTTTGGACACTAAGGAACTCAGTAACCAGACGAGGAGACAGGCTGACGCCGCCAATGGTCCGAGCAGAGGTTAAATATGGCATAAAGCAGCAAAAATCCAAAAAAACACAAAATTTGACCCCGAAACCCTAATTTCAGGATCATTCATGGTTACCCAGGGCCGAAAAGTGGGGGTCCCCGTTAACCAATAGTGGGGAATACAGGGTGCAGCGGAACGGGTTCACTAGGAAGGCAATGCAGTTCTTTGCTACAGGCTGGGGTGCTTTTGCGGGACTTGTAACAGTGGATTGTCCCCCGGGCCGAATGCCTTGCCTGCTTTTTTGGGAGTTTTTTCTGTGATAGAGCATAGTGGTTGGTAGACTTTTTGGATTGTTCATGATTCTCATATTAGGATAGTTCAGGCAATTATAGGAATTGGTACCAAAGTTAGAATACAGTAGAAGAGACAAAGAGAAGAAGGATTTTCGCTCTTGACACAGTCGTGGCATGAGCTCTGCCTGGCTGGAGAGCCTCACTCAGCTCAGGGCTGCGGCGAATTTTGTTAAGGGACGCCGGGCCCGCTTCCCGGCTTGGATTTTAATAAAGATTGGTCTCCTTAACATTTCCTGTGCTTAATTCGCAAAAAGTTGCCGAAGACACATCACCACCACTGATTTCCGGAAGGAATCGACGGTGCCTGACGTGCTAACATCTCAGCATGAGTGGGACCCTGAAAAAAAAAAAAAAAAAAAAAAAAAAAGGAAACATCGCCCAATGGGAGAGCACACAACAAACCTTCCATTTCCTGTGCTTAATTTGCGAAAAGTTGCCGAAAACACATCACCACTGATTTCTGGCCGAACCGACGGCGCCTCACAGTCACACACCTTACACACTAACTCAAACCCTCGGCATGACAGAAGAAAGAAGAACAAAGAAAAAATTTCACAAACGTTTGAAAATAATCATCGCTCAACTGCTTGCAGCTTTGTGACTTGTGACTGAAGCTTCTCCACATGATGTTCCATTTCCTGAAGATCGCCATGTATCT